GCGGCGCCTGCGGCGGCGTCTGCGGCGCCGCCCTCTCGCTGTCTCTGTCGCTGCCTTTGTCGCTGCCTTTGTGGCTGCCTTTGTCGCTCCCCCACTGCCTACATCCTCCCTGCGTGCTCTGCCGCCGCCGCCCCCCCCCGCCCCCCCCCCCACCAGCCCCTGCTCCCTCCCTCCCTGCCTCCCTCCCTCCTCCGCCCCCCCTCCCGTTCTCTCCCTCTCCTCCTGCTCGTCGTCATCGTCCTCCTCCCCCACCCCCTCCCATCCTCCTCCGCCACCTGCTGCTTCGCGCGCTCCTTATCCTCCTGCCCTCCTTGTTCTCCTCCTTCTCATCCTCGTCCTCGTCCTCGTCCTCGTCCTCGTCCTCGTCCTCGTCCTCGTCCTCGTCCTCGTCCTCGTCCTTCTTCTGGGCCTCCCTCCTCCTCCTCCTCCTTCTCCTCCTTTTCTTTCTGGTGGAGAAGGGGGGCAGGAGGAGGATGAGCGGTGCCCAAACCTCCAATGATGAGGGGAAAGATGATTCCACCTCTCCCTCCTCGTTGGAGGTCTGCGCGATAAGCATTCCGAGCTCCCACGCGTCCAGGTGGACCCATTGTCGAGAACCATTTTTCTTGCCTGCGCCTGGAGTCCAGACCAGGAAAGCTGCAGCAGTTCCGCCGACGGCGACTCCCCCAGAGCGGTGGCAGGCGCTGATAGCGCGAAGTCGCAGCTGTCGTGGACTTAGTGGCACCTTGCGTTCGACGGGTGCCACTGGCCAAAGGCGTCCGCGATTCGGTCGGTTCGGCTACGTCGCAGTCGTTTCCATTCGGCGGTCCCACTCGGTCGGCTGTTGTTGTTGTTGTTGTTGTTGTTGTTGTTGTTGTTGGTGTTGTTGTTATTGTTATTGTTGTTGCTGTTGCTGTTGTTGTTGTTGATGTTGTTGTTGTTGTTGATGTTGATGATGATGGTGTTGTTGTTGTTGTTGTTGGTGTTGTTGTTGTTGCTGTTGTCGTTGAAGTCTCATTTCAAATGATGGTTCGTGTTGATCCCCCCTCCAGTAACCATTGTGTTTTTTAGTGGCAGTGCTTCTCCTGGGGCGCGCACCCTGGTTTTTACAAGGGAGAGTGAGGTGTCACCAAACTGTGCCCCTGGCTCACGGTTTGCAGCCGCAACGGCTCCCGTCTGATATATCCTCACAGTTTATTCCCAAATCGCGCTCTCGCTTACAATTAATACAGGAATCGCGCTGTCGCGTGGGATTTCCTCGCAATTTCTCCAGACGCCGCGCCCTCGACACTCAGTAATCACGCTCTACACGATTCATTTGGGCATCGCGTTATCGCTCGAGAGTCCTCGCGATTCATGCAGGACGCAAGCTTCAGCAACCCGTCTGTCTGTTCTCCTTTCCTTTCATCCTTTCTCTCTTCCACTGCCGTAGGGGCTGCACGACATAATCGTTGCAGATAAGAAAAATATACCCCTAAGGGGGTACGATCAAAGACGAAGAGGGAGGGCATCGTGTGGAATGACACGTGAGCAGGTAAGAGCGAACAGTCTTAACATGATCGGTGTTGTTGTTGTTGTTGCTGCTGTTGTTGTTGTTGTTGTTGTTCTTGTTGTTGATATTCATGTTGATGTCGCTGTTGTTGTTGAGGTTGTCTTTGTTGTTTATTGTTGTTGTTGCTGTTGCTGTTGTTGTTGCCCCCTCATCATTTTTCGATGCGAGCGCCCTTGGTCCCCCCCCACCAGTGCACATTGCGTTTTAAATTGAAGTGCCTCCCTCGGGGCTTGCACCCTGATTTTTATAAGGGGAAATATTCCTGCTCAAACTGCGTTACTGCCCCCCTCCAGCAGCAACAACAGCAACAACGGTTCCCGCCTGATACTTCCTCACAGCTTATTCCAGAATCGCGCTCTCGCGCGGGACTTCCTCACAATTCTTGCAGGAATTGCGCTCTCGAGTGGATTTTCTTTGCAATTTGTTCATTCAGACCCCGCGCCTTCGACAAGCAGGAATCACGCTCTCGCCCTGGCTTTTCTCACGGTTTTCCGGGGAATCGCGCTATCGCTCGAGATTTCCTCGAGATTCATGCAAGCTTCACGCTTCAGCAACCCGCCTGCTCGACCTGGCCTCCTGGGTCCGCCTTCCCGACCCGCCCGTTAGGGTCTACCCGCCCGATCTGCTTGTCTGGTTCTGCCACGTGTTTTCTGCTCCTAGCCCCCCTCCTGCTAAATTCTATCGTGCTCCGTCCTTCTCCTTCCCCCTTCATCCGTCCTCTCTTCCTTTGTTTTAGGGGCTGCACCAATTACACGTGGCAGGTAAGGACGATATACCCCCAAGGGGGTACGATCGAAGACACAGAGGGCGGGTACCGAGGGTGTGCGACATACGTGCTGAATGGTGTGCGAGCAGATCGAGCGAACAATATTAAACTGATTGGTGCTGCTGTGCAGCAGATCGGACCGAGCAGTCTTAAACTGATGATGAGTGTTGTTGTTGTTGCTGCTGCTGCTGCTGCTGCTGTCGTTGCTGTTGTTCTTGTGGTTGAGTTATAATTTCTACAGAATAATTGTTGTTGATCCCCCCTCCGGTAGCATATGTTTTATTCATTTGAAGTACCCCTCCTGGGGCACGCACCTTGTCTCATTCGGGAAACTCTGCTTCCTTAATTTGTGCCCCTCGCTGCCTGGCTACACCAGCAACTTCTCTCGCCTGATACTTTCTCACAATGTATTCCCACATCGCGCTTTTGCGTAGGACTTCTTATAATGTATGAAGGAATCGCGCTCTCGCGTGGGATTTCCCAGCAATTTATTCAGACGCCGCGCCCCCTCGACACTCAGGAATCACGCTCTCGCTTTGGCCTTTCCCGCGATTTATGTGGTATCGCTCGAGACTTCCTCGCGATTCATGCAGGACTCACGCTTCAGCAACCCGCCTGCTCGATCTGGCCACCTGGGCCCGCCTTCCCGACCCGCCCGTTAGGGTCTCCCCGCCCGATCAGCCCGTTTGGTTTGGCCACGTGTTTTCTGCTCCTAGCCCCCCTTCTGCTAATGTGTGCTCCATCCTTCTCCCTCCCCCTTCTATCCGTCCTCTCTTCCCTTGTTTTAGGGGCTGCACGAATTCCACGTGGCAGGTAATGAAAACATACCCCCAAGGGGGTACGATCGAAGACGAAGAGGGCGGGTATCGAGGGTTTGGGATACATGTGTTGACTGGCACGCGAGCAGGTCGAGCGAACAGTCTTCACAAATGGTTGTTGTTGTTGTTGTTGTTGTTGTTGTTTTTGTTTTTGTTGTTGTTGTTGTTTTTGTTTTTGTTTTTGATGTTGTTATTGGTGGTGTTGTTGTTATTGTTGAACTCTCGCTATTGAAGAATAAGTATAGTTGAATCCCCCCTCTGGTGAGCATCGTGTTTTCAGTTGAAGTGCTTCCCCCTGTGCTCGCACCTTGTTTTTTTTGTATTCGGGAAAGTCACATTGGTCAAACAGCGCCCCTGGCCCCCCGTTTACAACAACAACAACAACAACAACGACGACGACAACAACAACAACAACAGCTTCTCCCGCCTGAGACTTCCTCACACTTGAGCCAGGACCCACGCTCCCGCCGGAGACTTCTTCGCATTTTCTCCAGAATCGCGCTCTCGCTTTGGACCTCTCTTTGCCATTTATACCGGATCGCTCTCTCGGGGTCTGAAGTCGCGCTCTCGCTGGAGACTTGATTGCAATTGATTCAAGAATCGCGATCTTGCATTGGAATTCCACGCAATTTGCTCAAGCGCCGCGCTCCCGACACTCAGGCACCCAGGGGTCGCGCTCACGCCTAGGACTTCCTACCCTCACAGCTTACAAAGGAATCGGGATCTCGCTGCCCTTCGTGGCCCCGTTTCAGCCCTTCGTGGCCCCCTCGTTGCTATTTGTGGCCCCGTTGCGACCCTTCGTGGCCCCCTCGCTGCCCTTCGTGGCTCCGTTGCAGCCCCTCGTAGCCCCCTCGCTGCCCTTCGTGGCCCCGTTGCAGCCCTTCGTGGCCCCCTCGCTGCCCTTCGTAGCCACGTTGTAGCCATTCGTGGCCCCCTCGATGCCCTTCGTGGCCCCGTTGCAGCTTCTCGTGGCCCCGTTGCAGCCCTTCCTGGCTCCTTTGCCGCCCTTCGTAGCCCCCTTGCTGCCCTTCTTGGCCCCGTTGCAGCCCCTCGTGGCCTCGTTGCAGCCCTTCGTGGCCCCGTTGCAGCTCTTCGTGGCGCTCTCGCTGCCCGTCGTGGTCCCCTCGCCGCCCTTCGTGGCTCCTTTGCCGCCCTTCGTGGCCCCCTCGCTGCCTTCGTGCCCCTTTGCAGCCTTTCGTGGCCCCCTCGCTGCCTTTCGTGGCCACGTTGTAGCCATTCGTGGCCCCCTCGATGCCCTTCGTGGCCCCGTTGCAGCCCCTCGTGGCCCCGTTGCAGCCCTTCCTGGCTCCTTTGCCGCCCTTCGCTGCCCTTTTTGGCCCCGTTGCAGCCCCTCGTGGCCCCGTTGCAGCCCTTCGTGCAGCCCTTCGTGGCGCTCTCGCTGCCCTTCGTGGCCCTGTTGCAGCCCTTCGTGCCCCCTCGCTGCCCTTGGTGGCCGCCCTTCATGGCCCCCTTGCTACCCTTCGTGGCCCCGTTCCTCGCTGCCGTTCGTGGCCCTGTTGCAGATCGCGCTATCGCTCGAGACTTCCTTGCGATTCATGCAGGGCGCACGCTTCAGCAATCCGCTTGCTCGACCTGGCCGGTTGGGCCCGCCTCGGCACACCCCTCACACGTTGCGTGGCCCCAGTGGGCTTCACCGAAGGTTTCAGGCGAATTTCGGTACACCCCTCACACGTTTCGTGGCCCCATAAAGGGGGCTCCACCGAAGGCCTCGGGTCCAGTTCGGCGTGCCCCTCACACGTTTCGTTGCCCCAGTGGGCTTCACCGAAGGATTCGTGACACTTTCGGCGCACCCCTCACACGCTTCGTGGCTCCACAGGGGGCTTCACCGAAGGCTTCGGGCACATTTCGGCACACCCCTCACGTT